CACACACACACACACTCTCACACACACGCACACTCACTCACTCACTCACACACACACCCACACACACTCACACGCACACCCACACGCACACTCGCACTCACACTCACACTCACACTCACACTCACACTCACACTCACACACACACACTCAGACACACACACGCGCACACAAACTCACACACACACACACTCTCACACACACTCTCACTCTCACACTCACACTCACACGCACACTCACACTCACACTCACACTCACACACACACATATACACACACTCAGACACACACACACTCTCACACACACACTCTCTCACGCGCACACACACACGCACACACACACGAACTCTCACACACGCACTCTCACACACACACACACACACACACACATTCACACTCACACACACACACACAAACACACACACTCACTCACTCACTCACACGCACACACGCACTCACACACACACACTCACACAGTGTTCTGATTGGTCAGGGTTAATGATGTCTGGCTCTGCTCTCTGCAGTATGTGCGTCTCTCCTATGACTCCCGTCCGGAGGCCATCCTGAGGCTCATGCTGAAGGAATGGCAGATGGAGCTGCCAAAGATCGTCATCAGCGTTCACGGGGGAATCCAGAACTTCGACCTGCACCCGCGGATCAAACAGGTGGTGGGAAAAGGACTGATCAAAGCTGCTGTCACCACCGGGGCCTGGATCCTGACCGGAGGGGTCAACACAGGTCACACACTCATTACTAGTGCATCATGGGTAAAGACAGCGGCACCAGACTCTCTACCTGCTGTACAGACGGCAGACTCCGCAAATGTGTGTGTGTGTGTGTGTGTGTTCACAGCGGCAGTTACAGGATTAACATGATTATCATAATGACAGTCATTTGAGTTTAAAGATCAGGTCGATACACTTTATTAGTGTTTACACACTCGCAGTGCCTCTACACACTAGGGGTTGAACGACTTCTGATTTTTTGAAGTCGACTTTTATGTGATGAAAGTCGAGTTGAAGTCGACTAGTCGCTGATGACGTCATTAATGAACAAGTAACTCTGGAGCTGTGATAAACAGCTTGTGCACAGCTATGGCATACGACACAGCGCTGCCCCACACTCGCTGCTGAACACACACTTCTGTAGAGAGGTCACGACCACTTGAGGGTCACGGTCACTGTAAACCGCTGACTGGGCGTTTTTCCACTGCGTTTCCAGGTGTGGCCAAACATGTGGGTGACGCTCTGAAGGAACATATGTCCAGATCGGCTCGGAAAATCTGTACGGTGGGAATTGCACCCTGGGGAGTGATCGAAAACAGGAACGACCTCATCGGAAGAGACGTGAGACTCATTTACACACACACAGCCCATTTATGACCTTTATTTACATGTGACCATTACTGTGAATCTCACTGAATGGCTTCATCTGACCACAAAACCAATAGTTTCTTGAGCAGAAAATCAGCTTCTGTACCTTAAATCAGAAATAAATTAGTGTTTCAAACTTTCAAATCACCAAAAGAGAGTTCCAGAGGCTTCTGTATGAAATCATGAAATCATTGTCTTGTTTGTGTGTGTGTGTGTGTGTGTGTGTGTTCAGGTTGTAGCACCGTACCAAACCCTGCTGAATCCTCTCAGTAAACTCAACGTGCTTAATAACTTCCACTCTCATTTCGTCCTGGTGGATAATGGGACAGTTGGGAAATATGGAGCTGAAGTCAAACTCAGGAGAGAACTGGAGAAACACATTAACCTGCAGAGAATCCACGCCCGTGAGACACACACACACACACACACACACACAGAGAAAAACACACACCTTTGAGTCCCAAACAGTTGGTCGTACGCATCTATTATCCTGCAGTCATTTTTCGCAGCAGTTCTTCACTCTTCATTCAGACTCTTTCACATGTTAGAATTACAGTGATGTGAGAAACTCAGAAATAACATCAATGCAAGTGTGAGGCAGTGATCAAAAAGTGACAAAATGTACTGCGTAATGTAAAATGTAATTTGTGTACACAGGCATTGGTCAGGGCGTCCCGGTCGTAGCGCTGATCTTTGAAGGAGGTCCAAACGTGATCCTGACGGTGCTGGAGTATCTTCAGGAGAGCCCGCCGGTGCCGGTGGTGGTGTGTGAGGGAACGGGACGTGCCGCTGATATACTGGCATACGTACACAAGCACACACACACACAGAGATATACACACACAGACAGGCACACAGAGACACACACACGCACAATGATTTATGTGTAAATCTCTGAGCTCTGTGACGACTCGTATCTGCTTATGTGAGTCAGATGTTATTACTGTGATTTCTGTCATAAGAGCTCGATGGGACATTTGTAGAAATATTAGCTTTACATTCGGTTTATTATTAGACCTTGAGTCGAGTCAAAGCCTTTTGTGTGTGTTTGTAGAGCGCTGCCTGATGGAGTTGAGGCCGACATCATCACAACAATCAAGAAAACGTTCAACTTCAGCCAGAGTGACGCGCTGCATCTTTTCCAGACGCTGATGGAGTGCATGAAGAACAAAGAGCTGGTACACACACACACACACACACACACACACTCACACACACAGACACAGTGACACTCACTCAGTATTTGGTAAATAAGCTCTGGTTTATGAGCGACACACACTGCAGGTCCCGTCAGTGTTTGACCATCGTGTGTGTGTGTGTGTGTTTCAGATCACAGTGTTTCCTGTGGGCTCGGAGGACCATCAGGACATCGATGTGGCCATCCTGAAGGCTCTGCTCAAAGGTCAGTGAGGAACGACCCTCATCATCTGTGTGCGTGTGTGTGTGTGTGTGTGTGTGAGAGAGTGTGTGTGTGTGTGTGTGTGTGTGTGAGAGAGTGTGTGAGAGAGTGTGTGAGAGAGTGTGTGAGAGAGTGTGTGAGAGAGTGTGTGAGAGAGTGTGTGAGAGAGTGTGTGAGAGAGTGTGTGAGAGAGTGTGTGAGAGAGTGTGTGAGAGAGTGTGTGAGAGAGTGTGTGAGAGAGTGTGTGAGAGAGTGTGTGAGAGAGTGTGTGAGAGAGTGTGTGAGAGAGTGTGTGAGAGAGTGTGTGAGAGAGTGTGTGAGAGAGTGTGTGAGAGAGTGTGTGAGAGAGTGTGTGAGAGAGTGTGTGAGAGAGTGTGTGAGAGAGTGTGTGAGAGAGTGTGTGAGAGAGTGTGTGAGAGAGTGTGTGAGAGTGTGTGTGAGAGTGTGTGTGAGAGGGTGTGAGTGAGGGTGTGTATGAGAGAGTGTGTGAGAGAGTGTGTGTGTGTGTGTGTGAGAGAGTGTGTGTGAGGGTGTGAGTGTGTGTGTGTGTGTGTGTGTGTGTGTGAGAGAGAGTGTGTGAGGGTGTGAGGGTGTGTGTGTGTGTGTGAGAGAGTGTGTGTGAGGGTGTGAGTGTGTGTGTGTGTGTGTGTGTGTGTGTGAGAGAGAGTGTGTGAGGATGTGAGGGTGTGTGTGTGTGTGTGTGTGTGTTTGACTGATGCAGGCGTTTCTGCTGCAAATTAACCGAATCAGACCATCATCTCCTGAACCGCATCACACACAAACATATGATTTTGCTTTGTTTTGTGAGATGGAGCCAGAAAAACTTTTACTATGTCATTTACATTTAAAGAATCTTCTTATAGAATTACATATAGAATTCATTTTTTTTTTCTAAGCTGAATTGTATAAGATGTTTATATTTATTATGTTGAATGGTGAATCTGTATCTGCCAAGCAGGCATGTGACGGTATCAAAGTTTCATGTTGCGATTAATTGCTAATGCTTTTGTCACTATATACGGTATTATCACGATACTGAAATTTAGTTGCAAAAAAGTGTTGCCATAGTAAAGTATAACAGGTTTAATAACGTTTTTCTTATAACAAAAAGAAACTGAACATTTAAATGCAATAAATTAGTGAATACATTAAATATTTCATACATTAATATTTAAATACAATAAATAAAGTAAATAATTTCACACAGATTAAAGTGCAAAATAATGATAAAGACCAATCGGTAACACTTTACAATAAGATCTCATTAGTTAACCTTAGTTAATGCACTAACATTAAGATTAAGCAATAGCTACATTTGCTACAGAAGTTATTAATCTTTGTTAAAAAATACAACTGTTAGTTCATGTTAGCTCGAGTTCATTAAATAACACAGTAGCAACTTTTGATTATAACAACGTGTTATTAAATATCGAAATGAACTAAGATTAATGAATGTTCAGAAGAATTTTTCTTTGGTAGTTTGTTAACTACTGCATTAACAAATGGAGCCTTAATGTAAAGTGTGACCGAACAATAAAGAATCAAAACACTTTCAAACAATATCTAGGGCATGTTGTAGTCCGAAATAAAATGTAAAAAAGTTTGAAAATAAATGGCCTATTAAGTCTAAATATTTCAGTAGCGATACACAAATCTGAATGGCTGTTTAAATCATTTAAATAGGTTTCGCTGCAGCTGCTTTGTTTCCGGAGTAACGGCTGCATTTCTGCTGTTCAGCGCCACCTGCTGTCAGAGAGTGAGAGTGCTTTTGCTTCTCATCCGGGCGTGTTTACATGAGTGCGCAGCGGTGTCGTGCGTTGTGACCAGTTGATGGGAAAAGTATTCTTAAAATGCTTTCCAAAATCGGAATAATTTGTAATAAATAATTATTCACGGTATTTTGTAAGTGCCCACGATAACAATACCGTGCATGTTCATTATCGTGATATATCGCATTACCGAATACCGGCACATGTCTACTGCCAAGTAAAACCATAGAAACTGATATAAATATATACGGTATATATACTCACACACACACACACACGCGTGCACGCACACACACACACACACACACACACACACACTCACACACACAGGAGAATCGGAGATGACAGAATGATGGTTTTGTCTTTCAGCAGGTGAAACACGTTCAGTTGTTCAAATTATCGTGATATATCGCATTACCGAATACCGGCACATGTCTACTGCCAAGTAAAACCATAGAAACTGATATAAATATATACGGTATATATACTCACACACACACACACACGCGTGCACGCACACACACACACACACACACACACACACACTCACACACACAGGAGAATCGGAGATGACAGAATGATGGTTTTGTCTTTCAGCAGGTGAAACACGTTCAGTTGTTCAAACATTTACTGCAGTTTGAGGAGAAACACTTTTTCAAAGTCTAAACTGTACATCTCGTGTGTGTGTGTGTGTGTGTGTGTGTGTGTGTGTGTGTGTGTGTG